TAATACACACTCTAGGAACCAAAGTGAAGTTTGGCCTACCCTTGCTAGAGGCAGTGAATTACAGATTGACAAGGTGAAAGAGCAGCGTTGACCAAAAAGTCCTGGAGAGTTTCGTTTACTAAGAGAAAGAGTGCATATCGATGCACAATGAAAATTTTCCCATGATCTCATCTGGAGCATAAGAAGTAATGAACATGCCTGACTTCAACGCAAATCCCTACCCACGCTAGATTGGTGCTTAAATGTTCTGGAAACCAGTAGAACTCGTGGCGTATACCAAGAACCCAACGTCAGTCACGAGCAATGACTTCATGGAAAACAGGAAATAAGATGGGTCCTATTTCAAATATGATCATTTAGGTGTTTCGCAGTCCTTCAAACGGACGACTCTCTGCCGCACACGACTCGTACTATTATGCTCCTAAACAATCCATCAAATCATTGAGAGGGTACAAATGAACAAGAACAATCTACTGATGGAATTCATTCAAGCTCAGCACGGATTAGTCAAGACATTTCATATGTATTTGTACTCAAATGTGAACTCCGAATCCTCGAGATTGCTATACGAAAAGATCGGCGTCGGATTGAGTTCGCTAATTTGTTCTCTAGATTCGTCGAGCTGCTCTTTACAGCAGTATCTGAAATTAAATATAGTTTTTGAAAAAAAGCAACATATCTCCGATCACAAAACTACCTTGGATTTGTGATTTTACTATCTCCTGAAATCTTTGGCTCAATACCACTCACAGTGCAGCCGTAATAGCATTCGTCGGTCGGCAATCTAGTCACCCGAATCACGATCCTTTTACCCAGTGGTGCCTGAACGAGATTTGAGTAACCTTAGAAGGCACTGATCTCATTCCTCGAATGACTACCATGTTTCCTCGAATGACTACCATTTTTGGCAAGCTACCAGAGTGGTAGCCAAGCATTAGCACATTTAACCAGTATAGTGGGTATAATGTGCCAGGAAATTCCACGGCACCCCTTAGCTCCCAGGCGACACATGTTGGGTGCCGTCGCAGCGACAACGCCCAACACGACGCGAACTGAGTGTACGGGTCGGTGTACTGCCTTACCACTTCAATGACGAGAATTTCACTATAAACGTCTCCGATTAGTGTCAAGCAGCTTGA